CCGATCAAAAACACGGCCCCAATGGTGGTCGATTTGGACATGTTTCATCGTATTGTAACACTAGCAACTTGCTGTTGGTGTCGCTACTACGGCGAACTAGTTAGTGGGCGACCAGCCATACGAACTAAAACACAGAACGTAAGACTATTTGACAAACGTAGCAGCTTTTATTTATTTTGCAAGGGGACGAGAATTAGAATAGTTATATACATACATCTCTCTTTGCAAGTATTTATTATTTTATACGAGTTATCTGGATCGGTCTGTGTCCCTTTCACATGAAATAAAACTCGCATTCGGCACAGTCCCCCCCCCCCCCACAAAGGGACTGTGCATTTGGTAAAGGAATTTGTATTTTATAAAACGTCGTCTGGTAAAATCAGACGGAGCCTCGCAGAGACACTAACAAAGAAAGAGTTTACATTTTAGAAATGGTGGAAACAATATATAGAAAAAAACAAATACTCATTTAAACTTCTTGACGTATTCTTTACAATGGTATGGTTTTTGACAGCGAGCATTACAGTGGATATGTAATTAACGTATTTTAATTTATTCACGATACCCATTTATATCATCTGTTTATTTTTAGAGTAATTTAACCCTAAATCAAAAACAGTCTACACAAAAAAGTGCTTTTCGAAATTTGATAGGTTTTGCCCATTATTGTTCTGGTTACAGCCATTAAAATTTTTCTAGTAGAACGACTATCTCAGATTTTCTTCTTCTATTTCGTGAATATATTTCTTATTTATTTCCTAACGATGTTCATGGACCTTAAAATACATTTAAAATGCAAGGTCATATGCAAACAAAATATGGACATGGGATAATCGCGGCGGTGTGAGTGACGCCCTCCGCCGACGACTCCAAATGGTAGTTGGAGCTGTTGGCAGAGGGCGACACTCACGCCACAGTGTTAAAGTCTTTATTGAATGACTTTTTATTATTATTGAGTTAATGGATGGTTGTAAATAGATTAATTATAAACATTGAAAAAACTAAATCAATGATTTTTGGAACACACCAACGTCTTAGATCACATGCTCAACTGAATATTCAAAATATTAATTTTAAAATTGATGTAGTTAATAATTTTAAATATTTGACGTTATTTTAAACAGTATTTGAATTTGAATGATCATGGAAATATGATTTCTGTTTTAAGACGACTTGGAGTCATTTGGAAAATTTGTAAATTTCTATCATACGAGTTGATGGTTGAGGCACTAGTATTTCCCCTCATCACATACCGTGATGTCGTATGGATGACCTGTGGTAGTAAGATGCAAACTCAAATCCAACGTTTACATAACAGAGCTGCCAAGTTAGTCCTTGGTAGGGGAAAGTTTACATCGACATCTGAAACACTGTCGATACTAAACTGGCACCCCATAAACCAGCAATGGTAAATGCACTCAGCGATAATAATGTTCAAATGCATGCATAATATTGTACCATTGTATTTGTCATCAAAATTCCGAGAATCATATATTCGTAAACAATCCATTCGCTTTACTAGAGCTGTGGCAGATAATAATTTGATGTTACCTTTTGTCCGATTAGAAAAAAAAAAATACATTTTTCTATAGAGGCATCTCATTATGAAATAGTTTGCCTGTTGAAATGAAATTACTAGATATTTGTATTTTTAAAATAGCTGTAAGAAAATGATTTTAAAAGGAAGTATGTTTGTATTTTATTGTAGGTAATTATTTTATTAATTTTAATCTTGTTAATGTATATATTTCATGCAGGACTCCATTGGAAATCATAGAGTCCCCTTATACAGAGTCTCTACACAGTGTCAGGCTATCATTTTATGCTGATTAACGTGCAAAACATGTCTATTCAGAGAAAACGC